ATCCTATCTATCTTTCCTTCACCGCCAGGGGAATTCCTAGCTTTCTTCTTTATTATTGAACATTTCCATGTCCCTGCCCCCATGTGTTCACATTCTCCTTCACACTAAAACAGGGTTCTCTATCCCCACTTTCAGCCTGGCAGAACCGAACCTCAGGTCTCCTTCCTCTAGAATGACCTTGGCCGGACGTAAGGCATAGTGATCTCTCCTCCTCTGAGCTTTACTTGCTCTTTCTATAAAATCAAAATGTGTACTTTATTATACACTATGTGCAACACTATGTAATGCATCTGTGTGTCTGCATCAAACTATTATTTGCTGATTTATTCATGTATGTGCCTGGCTTCTCTAACTATAGAATTCTCTGAAAGCTCCCTGTGTACAGCATTAATGCCTCATGTACTATATCAATTTAGTACAGTGCTTGGCACAGCAATGGTTTCAAACAAGCCCCTACCAATTGACTGCCTAATCAATTAGCAAAATGGAAAGATCTAGCCATCATGCTCAAGCTTTGTCTATTGGAAACTACTTTCCTAAAAAGCATTTTTCCTTCCTTTACAGATCAATTGCAAAGTTAAAATTCAAACACTGCTGATTTCACAAACAGGAATAGCTGGTAAGTATTGGGCTTTACGAATAATGAATGTGCACATCAAAAACAAAGTTGCAGATGTTTGTAAAAGTATACATGTGCAACTTCCATGAGCAGAGATGGCTAAAAACCCTCCAATCTAGCCCAAGCAATGAGTACAAGCTAACCCTCGGCTGAACCAGCCTTGACTGTGTCCAGCAAAGTTGCATGGTTCCAAATCACAAGAATATCTCGAGAGTATAGTCTAGCTTGGCTGATTGCAAAGGAAATTCATTTTTACTTTTGGCAAAGCTCTCTTGTTTGCTGACCCTTCAGACCTTTGCAGCATCTATAAACAAAGGCAGCAAAGTTTGCTTCATTGAAAGATAACCCTATCACTATACCTGTCTGTAGTTGATACCACAGTAAGGAATGGAAACAGGAGCAAGCTTTTTACCTTCCTTCCAGAGATTCTAATCCAGCTTTCTTTACAGAAGGCCAGTACTGAAAATAAATACAGCCAGTCTATGCTAATCAATTATATTTATAAGTATCTTAAAGGTCTGATTAGACCTTTTTAGAAGAAAGATCAAAAGAGAAAATGTTCAAATCACTTACAGCATAAGGTAATAAACTATAATTCTTTATAACATGAAATACATACTTGGCACATGGCATTATTTTTCTAGAATAATAACGTTTACTCTAATTTGGGGCTTCCAATCTGCCAGAGACTGTTCCAAGTACTTTAGATATAGTAATAGCTATTCAGTCTTCAGAAGGGTCCAGAGTTGTAGCTAAAATTGTCATCTCCATTCTATACATGAGGGAACTGAGATACGGAGAATTTAAATAAGCTTCCTAAGGCCATGTGGAGAGTTTGGAGGCACACAGATGGCTATGCATTAGTTCCTGGAACCAGGAAGAAGCAGATCTAATATTTGAGCTGGAACAGTCTGGCTCCAGAATTGATGTTCTTAACCACTATACCATATAACCTCTAAGCAATTTGTAGGCTCTGATTGAGAGGCATGTGTAATGGTGGGAAGGACATATGTTTCACATTCACATAATCCTGTTCTAAATCTCAGTTCTGCAAAGCACTAGCTGTGTGGCCTTGGACAAATTATTTAACATCTCTGAACATTGTGTTTTTTAACCCCATTGTGAGGATTTAGTAAATGTGTTGTATTTGTAATAGTCTGTCTAATTCACTGAGCATAGTATATAGCATATGATAGTCAATAATTTATCATTATTATTCAAAGATTAGCCCCAAATGTAATATCTTATAATATCTGCATAATCCTCTATTAGTTCACCGTAAATTATTGAATGAGCTTTAAATAAAGGGAAGTACATCTGGCCACAGTTCTTCGGGAAAAGACAACATTGGAGCTATATGCATCCCAATGAACACCACTTCAACATCAATAATAGTCTTATCAGAATTATTCCAAAATTCTGATACTTAACCTGTCAATCAAAAGGGTTAAATCCAAGGTAAAAACTGAACTCCATTTCATATAATTGATAAATTCATTTCATAATAGCTGAGTAAAAATTTTAACTCATTGAACTTTCAGTTGTATCATCAGTAAAATGCATGACAATGCTGAGCAAAATTTTATTGGCTTGAAAGTTATGCATGTCTTTTCAAACATCAGCTATAAATATTGATCTTACCTTCATTCTCTCAAGAAGTCAATAGCCATGTTTGAATTTCTTACTTGTTTTTCCCTCTTGTAACAACTTCACATCTATTGAAGATCAATTTCCAAAGAGGAACCCCAGGGAGTTACTAATCTACTAAATACAACTACGTAAAAGAGAGCACAATCCTTAAAGTGGAAATAATACCTGGCTTTGTGTAGCAAGTATTACCAAGCTGGGCAGGAGAAAATACTCAGCCTTGAGGATTAACGAATAAGACACCCACTGGTCATTGCCTGCACACCCACAGCCCCATTCCCTGGCCTAATGTGATCCTTCTGTAAAGAGCCCCTTCCACCATCCAAATTAGGATCTTTACTCTCCAAATTTTAAACTCCTTTTATGTCGCTATATACCACAAAGATCTAGTTTGTCCAGCTTCCAGAAGCTCTTCCTCAAATAGCATGGCTATACTCATGACTGTGCCAAAACAGGGCTCCGAGGCTTCTTATTTGGAGGCCCACTCAGTTTAGGACAAGTCCTCAGTCGTGTGGCAGGAAGGAGGAGGAGACCCGGATTTAAACCTTTGTTCTCTTTCACCTTTCAGCAGCCTCCATTTCTTTATCTTATTTAGAGGATTATGGGGTTTGTATATCTAAAACACAGATACAATATACAGCTGACACTCAATAAATGCTACATGCTACTGAGAATGTTTTACTTTTTTATTTTATAAGCAATGTTGTATGCTGAGATATTTTGATCCAGAGCTGTTTCAACCTATCCTTTGGTAAAGGGAACTATATCAAATAGAATTACTGCATCTCAGATTTTCAAGTAAGTAACAGGAATAAACTGGTACCTTTGATAGCTTCCCAGACTATGGCGGAAGAGACCCATTATGTCTCACTAGATTCCCGGGGCATGATTAAGAGAAGGGTGGGAATCACAAAGCACCTCAAATTTAAACTTTGGATTCTCTGTTCAAAGGAGACTACATACAGTCTCAGACATACACAGTCAGGATTAAAAGAAGACATTTATCACATAGTCTTAAATTTGTATTTTGTTTCATAGGACTATACTTCCTACAGTGCACCATGAATTGGTATTTTTCATAAATCCTCCAATTAGCATGTGAATAGGTCAATTACACTGCATTATACTTCTGGTGTTAAAAGCATTATTTTAAAAATGCAAACAATGATATTACAGGGGAATCTAATAATCCTATTTTGGTGAGTCTTCATCTGTCACTAGATTGGAAAATACTCACATCCTCAAAAACACTAGATTGGGATCCTTATAAACTGGTTTAAGCCTCTCTTTACCTTGAAATGGTTCTGCTACAGTGGAAAGAAATCCACTGATTATCTAGTGTACTATCATATAAAGTTTTTCTAAGATAGTAAATCCATACTTAATAGAAACTATGACAGGAATTTGCCTTTACTGATTTTGTACTAAGTAAGCACTCTATCAAGCACTTTACAAGCACTGCCTCATTGAACCTCTCAACAATCCTATGTGATAGGTATTATTATTTGCTTCATTTATCCCTGAGAACACAGAAGCTTAGAGAAGCTAAATCATGGCCTGAGCAGGTGGCATAGTCAGTCAGGGCCTGAACCTCTTGGGCTTCGAGGCCCACGAACTCCCAGCACATGCCAGTGTGTGAAGTCCTAGACCCACGCCCCAGACTGCCTTCGCTGGCTTTTTTGTTTGTTTTTATTCTGACTATTTACTATTCCAAATTAAGTTTATGCTTTTAAATACATGACTCGGAAGCCAACTTTTTGTTCCATGAGGTTATTTTTTGAGTGTCATTAACACTAACTAGCTCTTTACTTCTCCTTTAAGATACGGATGTCTTTTCTTCTTATTACCCTGGCAGAGCGCAGCTCCACAATTCTCTGCCCAGTTAACAGCGAATACAGCCTCCTTGTTATTTATCTACTTTTCTCTCTCAAGCTCCTTCCCAAGTGTCTTCCCAGTCTGATCCCCGCTGCCTCAGGCAGGTCCCTCCAGGACGGCCCTGCCCCACACTCCCCACCCCCTCCCGAGCTTCTAGGTCTGGGTGTGCTGGAACCTCCAGGCAACTGCGTCCCCACTTATCCTGACTACTGTGGTTTCAAGGGGCCTCTCTTGAATGCAGACAGCCAGTCAGCCAAGTTGAAATTTATACCAGAAATCTATTACCTAATTTTTAAACAAAATGACATGAAATCAGACTTGAAGATATCAAAAACATGTCTAGTTTTTGATTTAAGCAAGAAAATCCACATTGTTACTGTTTCCACCACAGAATAATTTACTGCAACAGGAGTTCTGGATCTCATGCCAAAAATGAGGTCCTCTAACCAATGTCAAGGCCAATTATCTTGTGGTAGATCCCACAACAAAAGCAGACTATTGTGATTAGAGTCAGAAGCACCACCCAGAGAAGTTGGAAAGCTTCTGGGGATTTCTTAAGTTTGGTTTTTATTTTTTCTTCCTTGTGTGTCTGTTTAAATAAACTACCAGAAACTGTGTGTGGGCACTGAACATCTCAGATTAGTCTGGGCGACAAGGACAGGGGTGATCCACTGGGAGCGACCTGCCGCGGGTTTGGATTCCAGCAGGAGCCGAGCTGCAAGGCTGTGTGCCTGCGGCCCTTAGAAGAGGACCTCCTCCTCCCTTCCCCAATCTCCTTCCCCAACCAGCTGTCCATAGCCATCCTGAGGTTACCTCCTGGGGAGGGAAGGCCCAGGCGGCCCAATTCAGGAGCACTTACCCCACGGTAAAGAACTGCCTCATCTCCTGTCTCCGAGACCTCATCAGTTGTTTATACTCCCCGATCCGGAGCTTTTTGCCATCAACAATGCACGTGCGTTTCGGTCGAGGTTTGTATTTATAGTTCGGGTACTTCTCTAAGTGGATTTTGCTTAGCCGGGCCTGCTCTTCATAATAAGGTTGCTTCTCTTGGTTGGACATGGATTTCCAGCGAGACCCTAGACATAAAAATAGCCTTCAGTCCCCAAGTGGGGAAGGCGACAAACATATTCTTGGCAAACAGCTTGGTTTACCTCCACTGCTCCACTCACCTGGGCTCTGAATGGCTCCTATCACCACATACCACTGAGCCTCAGAACTAGTCTTTTAGGCTACAGAACAAAGACTGATTTTGCATGTGATGCCTTTATTTCTCTCAATAATTTAAAGTCTGGTGTTACAGTCAGTGTATTGTTTTAAAACATGTCTTTATTGCTTAAAGATCCTCTCTAGCAGCAAAGTCTCCCCCCACCCCCATCTGCCTAACCCTCTGAAGAGGGTTAAGAGCCTAACCTTCACAAGCATACTTTCAGTGGGACAGGAGTCTTGGGAAAAGCTTTCTTGGTCCAGAAATTCAAACCTTTCTCTCATTACAAGTATCTTTAGCAAAGCTATCCTTTGATAAGATGTCAGCAGATGTGATACCCTTCCATGTATGAAGAAATCCCACTGTGCACACTGCCTCCCCTGGCCGAGGGTGATTAAAAAGCCTAAACTGTACTTAAGAAGTTATCGTTTTAGAACCGGAAGGTACAGTTGGAATTATATATACCATTTTCAAGTACTATAAACGTTCATTCAAAGCTATACCAATAAAAGTACAAAAATTTTTAATATGGTTTATACAGGAAGAAGGAAAAGTATTCACTCCTCTAATATTGTTTATAAAGAATTATCTAAACACTTGACAGAGAAGGGATGTGTTTTTTTACATGTATCAAATTGCATTTTTGTGTCTCGCTGGTGAATAAAGCGGTAACAGCTGTGCTGACTGGACGTTAGCTATTCTTCGGTGGAGATTTTTCATACATAAACAAATGGAAAAGTTGTACAAATATTCTTCATAGCCAGCAACATCCTGGTCTGCGCTAATAGCACATCCATCCCTGTTCGCTCCTGATTGTGCAAAAGTTGTACGGAATGGCGATGCAGATAGGCCGCTCAGTGTTCTACAGGCTTCCAGCAGCTTCCAGCCCCAGCTAACAGAGGACTCTTGGTGCTCTTGTGCTTGGAAGTTTACATTTTAATGAATACACTTACTATATTCTTAATAATTTTTTCACAGAATGCACACCAATAATATAAATTCCCCGCAGCTGCCAAAATGGGAACAGAGAAGTTCTGTGCCCAGATGGGAGCTTACTCATACTGCTACTAAAATGGAAAAAAAAAAGTTAAAGTCAGATATCAAGCTTTAAGACCAGAGAAACACTGGTTTTCTTTTGAATGTCTATTAATTAGAAAAAAATTTAATATATACATTGGGAACATTTTGGTTTGAAAGGTATTTAAATTAAAGGAATAATACCCCTATGCATATCTCTCCAAGACTCTAAAAATAAACTTAATTGTAATGACATTTACTATCCATCGTGAAATTCAAAAGTCAAAATGGAAAAAAAGGGGGAATTTGTATTTTAACATTTCACCACTATTTCATCTATGTATGTTTTAAATTTTCTTAGAGGTCACTGCCTGAAAATGTCTCGGAATCAAGTTAAATTATTTATACAGTGACAAACATGTGTATTTGTGTATGTCCAGATCACTGATACTTGCTCAGGTTAAATATTTATTGCTTTTGAACAAAACATTTAAAAAGTGAAAACCACAGTTTAAGTCTCTAATGTTTTTCAGCTTCTTTAACGGCTCCCTTTGAGATTCTGTCACATCGTGACAGCTTAAACAGAACAGTGCCTTCTGTGTTTTTTCTTTTTAAAGAGGAAACATGTTGACCGTAATGCTGCATGTTGAATAAAATATGTTCAATATGTTGAGCGCAATAATTCCAAACTGTATCATCTGCACTAGGCAAGCTTTGCACTAATAGAACAAGGCTTGAGTTTAATCCTGAGAATCGGGAGAATCGCTCTGGCAATTCACCGAGAAATGGGCCTCTGCCCTGTGGTCTAATGCGCTCAACCTGCTGCTAGGAAATCTGAACTAGTCACTTCTTATTAAAGTAAATGCAGTTTTATTTTACGAGTTTTGAAGTTATCATTGGAGGCACTGTTCTACACTCCAGGAACCTGACACTAGTTAGAGGCTCACCTCTAAGTCCTCGACGAGCCCTTTCAGAGGGACACGGGACAGCGAGGATACTGAAGCAGAACACTGTGGGCTCTGTGTTTCTGCGGTTTCACAGCAGCTTATGAGTTAAAGAGACTGAATAAGAAAAGGAGATCGCGCTTGTCTCCAGGATCGCTGTGTGGCAGTGACCTCCCAGATTGGCCAAATTCAGAGTATTAATGCGCACTGTAAATAGTTTTGTCCCTACAAGAAATTTTTAGTCAGTCCTGCCCTGGCACCTTGTGGGTGTAATGATTCCCAAACCCGAGTGGCACACTCTGGGGTAGCGGATGTAGCAGTGATGACAAAGTCCCTTGTGGCAGCTTGAAGGGCTGTATCTAACTTCTGCAGATCACAGTCACCCTTAGCTGTTAAATTTGCTCTTGATTTTCACTCCTGGGACACTCATGGGGTAAGAGATCAGCCTCAGCGGCTACACTCACCTAAAATTTTGCTAATGTTGGAGTTATGCATATCGGGGAAGGCCTGAAGGATTTTCCTCCTCTCATCCTTCGCCCAAACCATGAATGCATTCATTGGTCGCTTGATGTGTGGCTCGCTGCTGGCCCGGCCGCGAGCATCCCTGTAGACTCGTGCTTCAGCCACAGTGGCACCTCCTGTTGGCCAACAATAATACTGCTGTAGTTTAGCTGCAGAGCCATTCATTGCTTTACTTCCTGTAATGTCAGGGCAGGAAGAACAAGATGGGTGCAAAGCATTATTATCTGGATCGTGTAGCACAGCTTACCGCCTGGCTCAGCTGCTTTCCTTAGGCCCTTCTCTTCTTTTTAAGTGACATCTTGGAAGCAGAAGACAGTTTCAGATGACAGTTCTACAGGCCCTTCTGACACAGGCCTCAAAGACACACTGGGCAGAATTAATGCTGCACATTTTTATACCCCTAGAACATTTTAAAAAACAACCCACGCAGGCGATAATGAAGCAGTAACTGGCATCACTTTGTGCGAAGCTATCCTGCTGTCATTCCTCCCCTTAAGAGCAGAGTCCTATTTGCCAAAAATTGCAGCCACTCTAAACTGTCTCTTTCCCTCAAATAGAACTCTCTTTCACAGGACTGCACCTTGGCCAGTGCCCTTCTCAATGCCTGAGAGGAAACCCCTTCTCCTACCTCTTCATGCTAAATCCCACTTATCTTTCAAGGCCTATTCAAAGGTGGTGTGTTTCATGAATTAATTAATTCAATAAACATATTAATTGAGCAATTACTATGAGTTAAGCTTTATGCCAGGTGCTAGGGATAGGAAGGTGAATAAAACAGGCCCTGCATAGCTCACAGTTCAGAGGGGAGACAGACCCCACAAGACAAAGATCCCAATGTGTGGGGTAAGTGGTTGCAATATTGAAGTAAGCAGGATTCCAAGAAGGCACAAGACAGGAGAGTCAGCTAGTGCTGCCTAGGAGAGGTCATGGCTAAGCTGAGCCTGGAGAATGAATAAGAATTAGCCTGTGAATTGGGGGAGAGCAGGTAAGACTGATGGGAAGGCTGGAGCAACAGCGTTTGCACCGGGGTTCCCCAAGCTGCAGTCCTTCCTTCCTCTTACACTATATGCTCCAAAGTCCTTACTTGTTTATGTGATTATCTATCTCTAACTTTTCCTCCATCCCCAGGAATTCTTACATAACAGACACTAAATAAATACTTACGTAAAAGATTGTTTGGTCTTCAACTCATATGCCAAAGTAGTAGACTATCAGGCATGTGTTTCAAGGGTCCTGATACCTCTTTCTGCTGTTTACAGGTAGTTCTTTAACATGCCCCTACAAAACTATGTCTAAATTCCTGATATTGTTTTCTGGTTTCCAAAAAGGTGACTAGTGACACACTGGATTGAAAGCTCGTTGAGGATACAGCAGGAACCAGCTCTTATTCACTGCTGTTTTCTTAGGTTGCAGTAAAGCACGTGGCAGGTAGAGTTTCAATTAGTAAGATATGTTACATTAAGGAATGATTGAACAAATCCACTGAAAGAGTGAACATAGCTCTTGCATGATTTGACGTACCAGCATGACACATGGATGTACGCTTTCCAATGTTGCAATCACCCGTGTCTCCCTGAGATTGGGAACGACTCTCCAGAAACCTAACATTGGACTGACAAGAAGCCAGGGCTTCTAAGGCGGAAAGCAGAAAACCTATTTCCAAAAGCTTAGAAGCAAAATCTACATTAAAACCAACACTACTACTTTTGGAAAAAGTAAATCCTTTCAGCTCGGTGGGGTGATTATACAGGAACAATATGACCCTAACAATCTCTGGCCCTTCTATTCTATTTCCAGATACCTTGATTATGTAGAAATTTGTTTGTGTCAGAGCTAGGAATAAATTAGAACATTAACGTGCACTATTATTTGGCAAATATGGGCATCATTTGTTTCAAACAAAAGACAGGATGATAAACGGTCCGAAGTGGACAGCATTGTTAATTCTTTTCTAAACACGAAGGGGAGCAGAGAGGCCACTTTTCGAGGACCGTGAGAAAATAACCTATTTTATAAACAGGCCTTCTCTTAGGACTACCAGACAGAACTATGCCTCACATGAAAAGTCTCAGACCCCGAGATGCATAACTAATATGCTACCTTTTTGCCACCATACCCACAGTACATTAATTTCATTTAAAATGCACTGACCATACAGGATAAATTGATTTCACTTTATATGGGTTTGACAGCCATGTTTATTGTGCAGTGAAATGTAGTGTAGCTTCCAGCTGACAATATCCATCAACACAGGGCAATATGCTGACTGCGGGGCCAGATGAAGGCATACATTACTCTGGAAGTGAAACACTCATTCAGACATGACAGTGTCTTCTCCTGAGGATCACCACGGTAATTTATGATGCCCTTGGTGCCATTACTTTACAGCTGACATGGACTCGGCAATTTATATACTTGCATGCATACACATAAAAGAAGACGGGCTTGTGGAGAATGCCATATGCAAAACTGTTTCCATATTATTCCAAGTTAGCTACTGTGCCACAGGTGATTAACATTTGAGATTGGCTCTTACTGTTCTAAGTTTCTCTCTACCTCTAGCAAAGCCAAATAGTCAGTTTCCATTTACGTATTCATTGAAAAGTATATATTTTCATTGTAAATAAGATGTTTTAATCTCCTACAGTCTAACGGAGATCATGGTAGATTTTTAGATTCTGGTTTTAGTAGACATTCAATTCCGTACTAATTGATTCCCCCAGATGTGTCCACATAGCCCCACCTCTTTCCCTCTCAGTCCCTCCCACCGTCTTAGCATAGCCTTTCCACTCTCTTCCTACTGAACTTTCCCTTTTTCCAAGGGAGAGGGTTCAGGTTCTGCCCCACCAACTGCCCTCCATGACCTGGCCTCTTTCTCTCACGGTGCATCCTGTCTTCCTGAGGCTGACTCTGAACCCACTGCATAGCAGGATTCAGGCACAGTATGTGGTACAAAAATACAAATTAAGAAAAGGAAAATAGAAAATGTTCCAGGCCATTCGTGCACACATCTCTTTTTCCTTGCCTCCTTTCTCTGCCAAGGAGAGTTAGTTGAGAAAAGAATAGGGACATCCTAAGCAAAACTAGGAAGGTGCTGTCAGCAAACCAACATTTGGAAACAAGAGACTTACCCAGGGAGACCAAAGCTTAGAACCATTTTTAAGCTGGACATGATATCAGATCAGAGTCGGAATTTTCAGACAGTATTGAGGCCACAAAATCAAAAGAATATTTAGAAAGTGTCCTTTAGTTTTCCCAAGTTTTGCTTTATGAAACAAAATGGTTAGGGAATTATTATTGCAACAGTAGAAATACATATAACTGGCTTTGTGTATTTAAATTAAGAAATTTAAAAATGAATCCCAAGCTGGTATGCCTCACTGATTGAGCACAAGCCTATGAACCAAAGAGTCACTGGTTCAATTCCCTGTCAGGGCACATGCCTGGGTTGCAGGCTATATGTCCCCGGAGGGGGGTGTGCGAGAGGCAACCACACATTGATGTTTCTCTCCCTCCCTTTCTCTCTTCCTTCTCTTTTGTCTAAATATTAAGTAAATAAAAATTTAAAAATAATAATATTTAAAAAAGAAATTAAAGAATGGAGATTATATATTATGAAAGGCTTTTTAAACAGATAAGAAAAATTCTATAGAATACTGTAAAATTGTTTTCAGAAGGTATGTTATTATTCTGAATATTTGAAGCCTAAAAACCACTTTCTGTCCTAATTAACTTTATTTTCTTAAAGTACTTATTATTTATTTATAGAGAGAGGGGAAGAGAGGAAGAAAGAGAGGGGGAGAAACATCAGTGTGTGGTTGCCTCTTGGGCACCCCCTATTGGGGACCTGGGCCAAACCCAGGCATTTGCCCTGACTGGGAATCAAACTGACAACCTTTTGTTTGCAGGCTGGCACTCAGTCCACTGAGCCACACCAACCATGGCTGTTCTAATTAATTTTAAAATCTACGTATCAAGTGTGGCTTCGTTCTGCTTCATTCATTTTCAAAAATAACATCAAGTTTTTTTTTCTTTTTTAAAAGCCACTTTATCCTAAAATAGCCAATGCTCTGTGTCAGAATCCAGAGCTGTCCTAGAGAATGTCTCACAATTCTATGAGGCAGCTTCTTTTACTTTTAATAGCAGGGGATTCAACTGTGAGTTCACTGTTCACGACATGTCCTCTCATGGAAGGCAGTTGGAGGAAGCCTAGAACCAGAGCTATGTACCTGAAGACAACTGCCTTCCAGCGGACCTGAGAGTCTAATTACCAACAAAAGCATTCTTAAATGGCAGTTGCTGAGAGCTCAGGAGGTCAACAGAACCACATTAGGCACACTGGTCGCCTGTGCTCCAAGAACTCCTGCTCTCTCCAACTTCACCAAGGGGGCTTGGATTGATTAATTCATTTGTCATCTCCCAGATCACAGTTTGTGTAAAGGCAAACTTTCAGTTGGATAAAGGCAGATAAACCATGGGGAGAAAATAGAAATTGCAAAGGCAAAGACCTTCTTAGGAATCTGTGCTTTAAATGATTTAAAGGGAAGAAAGTTGAGTTTTTCCAGGTGGGTCCAGTTTAACCATCACAGACGATGGCAGTGGTCCTAAACTAATTCTAGAGAGGCCCCCTTCCTGGGTCAATTCCAAGAGTTATGTGAGTGAATGAGGAAGTGTTTGGTGTGTGTTTTCGTATACATTCTCACCAAAGAGATTACTGGCTAATTCTAGAATGTGCCTAGTAATCATTTATCTATGCATTAATTCAGCAAGCACTGCTGAGACATTTTAGGTATACCCAGCACTGTGATCGACTGTACAGAGAATAGTAACACATAGGCCTTGTTTTTAGGGAATTTGGTCCAGTGAGGGAAAGAGGCACATAGAGAAAATCGCAGAACAGTATAAGTACTAACAAAGGTAATTTTAAAATACTATGCCAGAAGTGAAGTTCTTAATGTTATTGGAATGGACGGAGATGACTATGAGGAAGGCTTCAAAGAGGAAGTGGTGCCTGGACTCAAAGGAAGAGGAAGAGTTTACCAGCAGGTGTGAGTGTGAAAGCGTTCCAGGCTGGAGAGTCAGTAGGAACAAAAGCACAACATTACAGCAAAAGCGTAATAGGTTTTAGGGAATAAACAGAAGCTGGTTTTGGCTTGAACTTAACAGAAAAAAATAG